GTCAAGTATTTAAAATCATAGTTTTCAACTACCCATGAAATCCATAAAACTGGGTATCCCATAAACATTAATGAATCAAAGGTTTTAAATAAAGATTCAGAGATTGATGTAAATAATGATTTCTACTTATATGATATGTTTAAATCTAAACTTCACTAAATGTTACATGTTTATAGTTTTCTCATTCTACCTTTTACTTGTGAGTTCACATAAGTGTCAATGAACTCTGTGTAATTAGAATAGAAAAGAAGTGTTTCAGAAGTGTTGATTTTTAAGTATGAATTACAGTATGCACAGAATTTGTTTTTCACACAACTTTTAAACTTCAGACTGAATTTTGCATAATTTTATAAATCTTACATAACTTGTTTACCTACATGCATTTTATATATATATATATGCATTTTGCATATATATATATATTTATCGCTATTTTACGAATTTTTCCTTTGATCTTGCTGACTGATAATTTCCTTTCTCAGCGGAGTCGAGTGATATGAAAACGGAGTCGAGTGATATGAAAATTATCGCTAGAAACTAAGGGAACACGTGCTGTTGTCAAGGAAATTAACAACGTCTTCATAGGTAAAATAGCGATAAACAGATTATCATTGGTCATCTCAACTCGATTGCTTTTCTCACTTTCGCCGTACCGGCTCAAGCTAGAAAATCAATCTTGTTGAGATAACCAACGATAATCTATAAATATACACAATATTCACTTATTTCTCTTTAAGATATGCACAATTTGTGTCTCAATTTCAACTTCTGATGAAGTTTAAAAGTTGTGTGAAGAACAAATTCTGAATGTTAAAATCTAAACTTCACTAAATGTTACATGTATAAATATAATTCTCAGTTGTTTTGTTATGGAAATTTTGAAACGTTACCTACCTACCAACATGGCTGTCATAATTAACTATAAACAATTTAGAGAATAAACAGGAAATATTGTAAATCTTTCTTCTTTTCGCATGTAATTATAACTATTCTGTTGATGTTCCAGTTAGTCTATTTTTGACTTAGTAGCTGCGATAAGATTTCATGAATTTATCACTTTTCTCCTCCTTTGTCAGCTGTCTTGAAAGAGATATATTGAACTGATTATTCTAAAATATGGTTATTAAACATTTGACCTTATTCTGGCCATTGAGCAAAAAATATCCATGAAAATAAAAAATGTTTGGCTCAGTTTTGAGCGATCCTTTGCGATTGGTATGACTGAATTGAGGTCCTCTTATTCAAGTTACAAAATAAAAAACAGTTTCAGATCGTTTCATTGAAAATGATAAGGTTAAGTTCTCACTGACTGAAATCAGTATTTTTATGGTTGATTTGAAATTTTCATTAAATGGTAATAAAAGTTAAAAAAAAAAACATAAGTAAATGTATAAAAGGTTTCTACAGATATATTTTAATTACCCGGGTACTACATGTATGTATCTCTGATAATCATATGACCACACTTATTGGTATTGTGCTGTCATGCCTGTAGCAGTTTTTTGTTTCAAGGTAGTACAAAAATATCTAAACATTTTCAGTACAATAAGTTGACCAAGATTAAGATTGACACTTTGATCTAATGGTCAACTTTACTGACTCAGCTGTCTATAAAACATGTAGTGGAAATAATTGGATATTTTATGATGAGCTGAATATTAACCTGGTGTCAGATTTCAAGGTATGTCTCTGTCCTAGATAACTGACCTTTATACAATGGGGTTTTGTAATAATATACATGTATCCTTAAAGTACACAAAGTAGAAGTATCCAATTTGTCCAAAAGATCTAAAAATGTACACAAATTTTAAAAGAATACTGTTATATTTTAACCATTAAGTAAAATTTCATGGGTGTTACAGTCTTATTGATATACAAATCATATCCTTTTTTTCCAAATGCATTTTTATAAACAGAAAAAAGTTGGTTCTTGACAACAATGTTTGTGTGAACAACATGAGGTTGGTTTGCTGTCTTTGAACAATACTATTGTGTCCTCTGAAAATCCTTATCAATACTTCTAAATGATGATTGAAAGGAGTCATGGGGTATATGTCAATATTACAGCAACCCAACAACACAATAAAAACACATGTAAAATGTTGTTGAATCTGGTTGTGGTACTTTTTCTAGCTTTTAAAAGTAGATTTAACCAAATACCCTAAGCTCAAGGATTAACGGAAAAAAAAATATAAAAAAATGCTGAAATTATTTGTAAGCAGGATTTTCTCGCTCTATTGAAGACCCATTGGTGGCCTTGTGCTGTTTTCTGCTCTTTTGTCAGGTTGTTGTCTCTTTGACACATTCCCCATTTCCATTCTCAGTTTTATTACAATGCTACGCTGCAGCTTCACCACTGTATACATTTGCATATGGCTCTTATGGTACCAATTTTATGACAATACCTTTCACAAAAAAGTTTGTGAGTTAGTTTGGGTGTCCAAAACAGTGAATGACATTTTATTAAATTGATATGACATTTTAGCTAAAAATTGGATGTTTGAGTGGCAAAGTATTTCCCAGGCTAGCACTATTTAAAAATTTTTTTTTAACAAAATCTGTCACATATATTACACCTTTCTTTGTTTTGTTTTAACAACATGTACATTGTATTTCTATTTTAACCAAACCAACATAATAATAATAATAATAAAATAAGGAGATATCAGGAAATATAGGTGCTAAAATGACACAAAAAGATTAAGAAAAAGGGAGTGCGTCTAATGCTCCCAAGTGTCTGTGCCAGAAAGTACTGAAATATAATAATTTATGAATTTTTCTGACTGACAAAGAGATTAATGTTTTATTGTTTGTGTTGTTTTTTTGTTTATTAACATACCACACATCTTAAATTCATAGATCACAATTCAAATGTACAGGTTTTGTTCATTGTTGAAGGCTGTGAATGACCTTAAGTTGTTGACATCCTTGTCATTTTGCCTCTGGTGGATATTTGTCTCATTAGCAATCACACCACATCTCCTTATTTTGTAAATGATGTATGACAGATCAAAATATCATTTCAACTACCTGCAAACATTAGAAATGTGAAATGCAGGAATTACGTCAGCTACAAATGACTGCTGTTAATCTTTGATGCAATTTCATGTCCACAACAGTCTTAACTTAGAAAATCAATTTCATTTCTGATTTTATTTACTGTACAAATAACACAGTTGCAACACAGAGTAATGTTTATTTGGATGAATGAATGTCTAATTAATTACAAATTTCTGATTTGCATATTGACGAAATTAATGTTAGAGAAAACCGGAAGACTATATTTCACAGGATTCAACAAAACTTAAATTTTCACAATTAACTTTTTGATATTTATATAAGTAGTGCTAAAATAGCAAATATTTTAATTGTATAGATATTCAAAAACTTGAACAAATCTTGGAATTTTTCCAAAGGGAAATTTAGATAAGTATTGGAATTGATTATGGAGGGAGAGAAAAAAAAATAAACAGAGGAAAACTAAAGGTTCATGGATATCCATGGAGGTGAGGGAGTTTTTTTTATATCCCTGCATGATTGTAATTGAAGGTAGATTTGTAGAAATGCTAGGTATTAAGTATTCACAGACATAAACTTTTATTTTGCAAGTTTATGGAAAAAGAATTGAGATTTATTAAATTTTAGAATAACATAATTTATATGTACGTCTCAGATAAAACTATTATGCATGTTTTATTTGATCATTTAAGGTGAGCTGAGACGGATAGAAATCGACCTTATGCAACTGCACTATACATGCATGTACATATATAAGACTTTGATTGATTTTGGAACACTCATATATGAAATAAAGATGAATTTTGGTCTGTTTTGAAAGGTTCTTATATCAACTCAATTTTCAAACAGTTACAGCCTTTGCATATAGATTTTTTCAACCTGTAATAAGTTAACACATGAATTAATATTCATTTGCATAAGGTCGATTTCTAACCGACGGGGCTCAGGTGTTATAATGATATGTCCTTACAGAAGAATAGAAAGGGGAATGTAGGGACGAATTAAATGCATATAATAATTTTCATATTCTAATACATGTACAACATGTACAAGGATTTTATCAAACGTGTCTCACTAAATGATATGCAAGTTTTATATATAGTTTTGTAAACAAGTTCAAATTAGTCCATATAAACACACATATTGTGCAACAGTAAATGAAATATCCCAGATAATGGAAAGGTCTTTACTAACTGTGTCAGTGATATTTAAGTTACATCTTAAGCTAGTTTTAAAAGTAATTTGAGTATTCCATACCATTTGAATGAACTTTAACAGTTAAAGGCTATCTAATTTTTATGAGGATACACTTAGTATAGAATGGCTTCATTAGACGTAGTTATTATGGCAGTGCTAATAGTTAATCTAGTTTTCCTTGGACCTGTGATTTGGTCATGTGCTGTAACAATACAAGTAATAGCTTTTCTAAAAAGCTAGCCGTCCCATAGCTGATGAAAGTGGAAAATGTTTTCTCTTTGTAGTTTAATTCGTTCAGAATTGTATGTAAATTGTAGTGGATTACAAAAATTATAAAAGGCTTAAACAATTTTATAGATTTACCAATTTCTTTTGGGGAAAGTATTAACACTGGAAATGGAGGGATAATGTCTTTTTATCAATTATTTTTTTTCAAACAGATATCGGAGTTGTTCGTTGACTTTTTTTTGGTTGTTTGCTTATTTATTTGTGTTAGAAAAGTATGGCCGCTTCGGCCTGAAAGTTTTTCGTTCATAATAGGCATCGAAAAGTGTAGAGAGTGAAACATAGTAAAATTTAAACATATAAGAACACAATTAATATATTTCCAACGGTATCTCACATCTTTTCAAAAATGATCCTTAAAATGTAAAGCTTCACATATATGTATGGTTATTTTTGTTGTCGATGAGTTTTTTGTCTTTTCATTGTAGTTTGACTGCAATGTGGAATGCCCCACGCCTCTTTTTCTATATTTGAATACAATTAAATATTTCTTTTTTCAGATTATTTGGTTTTATTGGACTTCTTAATTATATTTTTTGATGAAAAATACTCAGAGTAGTGAGACAGGTAATTTGTTATATAAGACCTATTGTAAGCGCCTGAAATTCAAAACATAGTAGTTTCGCCACCATTCTTTTTCAAGTTATAATGGACGTCGTTGGTTATAAAGAAGGTGATAAGTTCTGCAAAGCTGTTTTAAGTTCACTATGAGGCCATCAACATAAGAGAATCAAGAAAAACTTTATTAAGCATACAGCTTGATACTGTATCTTTTGTTATTGTTTTACTTGTACATATCTTCATATTTATTTACTATACCATTTAATATTGGATGATGAATAAGGCCCTTATCATACTTACCCTTAAAAGCTTGACATACTGGATTGACATAATCTTTTGTGGGAGACCGTTCGTATGTTGACATATAAATGTCTTTTTGTTTTATGATCATAGTATATGTATGTTTATACTTGTTTTACAATTCTTGTAGAAAACATACAATTAAGAATAATCTTTTAAAATGCCAACAGTATTTTCGTCTTTTAAATTTATAATTTTCTTTTATTTCTCTTTCTCTCATATATAGCATGTCTAGTATAAATAGTCAATAAACCTCAAAACAAACATTAGAAGTTTGTTCCTGACCCTGAATTATTTTTTGCTACAAAGATTATTTTATTTATTTCATAGGAAATATGTTCCATTGGAATATATATCACAGAAAATTTATACCCGGAATATATATTATAAGGAAATATGTTCCAGCACTGTAAAATTTGTTCCGGAACTAATTTTTTACTAAATGTTAAATAAGTTCTGGGTGTTATAGATTAACATGATGCATTAACTTTATATCAAGCAAAACATTCTATAGTTGTACCTGACAAATTTAGTACTCAACATTGAAGTCTTTAAACGACACGAAAACATTCAAATAAGGTAAATCTTTTAGAAATTCAAATTAAGTCAGCATATATATTGTATGTAGATAATAATTATGTTTAAAAAACAGATGCACAACTATGATTAACAACTGTGATAAATATTGAAAACGCACTATTTCATTTTTCTACAAATTCTGATATGAAGTAACATGTTGAATTGCAATATTCATAAATAAATAATACATCTATAAAAAATGTCTGATGGATTTTTCTTATTCTTCGCTTTTCTGCCTCATTAAATTATTGTCATTTGGGTATTTTTTTTATGGATAATGTAATTAAACATTTTGCTGTACTCCAGAGAATCCATATTGGATGTTTACACCTTTTATTTATTACATTATCAATATAATACATGTATTTTATTATGTATTTGAATGATAACTTTAAACTCACTGATAACAATGCTCAGTATAAAAGATAACTTGTATAACCAGTGGAACATATTTCACAGACAAGGAACTTATTTCACCAGGTAAGGAATAAATCTCACAGACTCGGAACTTATTTCATTAGGTAAAGAACAAATTTCACAAACCCAGAACTTATTTCACCAGGTAAATTGTGGAACTTATTTTATAGAGATGGAACAAATCATATAGAAATTATCTGTGAAAAAAGTTCTCCCAGAATATATTTCCTGTGATATTTGTTCCACTGGAACTTTTTTCACAGGAACAAATTTTGGCTCACATATTCACAACTATTCTATATATTATAGTTAGATTTGGGAGGATAAAAAACTTTAAAATGTTGTAATGACATGTCCATTGAAGAAGACCGTAGAATGAACTTTATAGGTAAATTGTCACGTTTTGTTTGTTGCTTAATTGGGTTGCTGTCTAAATTAATTATGTATACTTCACATCTCCTTTAAAATCATTCATAGAAATTAAACATTGCTTAAAATATGTTAGCATATGTATAATTGCTTTTATCGTCTGAGAGTAGTTTTTTGTTCTTCTTATATTCCCTTTTAGATATATTTTTAGTCTTCTGTTCTTCAACGTCTGCTATCTTGCTAGGAAGAGCTAGCTAGGTAGATCTAGACAACATCCTACTCAGCCCAATGATCTTGGGGTGTGTAAAGGGGCACTTATCATGTAATGAGTGGAAGGGATGAGTCGCTGGGATAGGTCACTATTTGAAGCTTCATGATATTGCATGACGTCGAGAAATTTAGGTGAAATATAAGACAAGGTTGATGATTGAATCTGAAACTAATCAGATGTCGATATTTTTTTTACAGATGCAATTAAAATCACCAGAGATTGTGTATATATGTCTCTAAAATCACTTTCGTAAATGTTTAAGATATTTGTCATATCTATTTACTAGTATCTCCCCATGAAATAGCGTAACAATGATAGCTATGTGCAGGTATATATACTTATTGTAAAAAATATATGATAGCTAGGGTACCTTCGTGTATGTTCTTTTATCATTCAATATATATTTATATATAAAAACGGTGGGGTATTGGATGTCTCAGCTGCTCACCCCTGCCATAGAAAGGTCAAAGTGCCGCCACCCCCCGCCCCCGCCCCCTGAGATAAAAATTCTCGTGTAAATTATATTAATCGAAAAGAAATTATTTGATATCTCCGTTTTAAAATGTTTGTGTTGCCTTTAGATTATCTTACTGAGTATACATAAATATAACCTAAGAAAAAAGCATTTTCCTAAAAGTTTTCTTATGTTTTCACGTATAAAATGTACGTAACAGTGAGCGACTGGATTGAAACAATCATGTGTATGTTTACAAATCTTCGGGAGATTTGTCTATTTATAGATAAGTGTTACTGTGTACCGATATGCATGATTGGTAACCAGGCAAATCTATTTACTAAAATAAAGAGTTCAGATCCGACACTCTATGGGATTAAAAGACATTTACTAGATTTTAATAGTCCCAACCAATCAACGATCTTTAATTATTACAGCGTCAGTAATATCTTCCAATCAGGTAGTAAGAAAGCCTTCAGCCCGCAGACTGTCCATCGTTCAACTCTCAATACCGTCTCCGAGGAGATGGTAATCATAGACCCTGAGTGCTTGTCTCTGTATTTTCAGTTTTTCAATCAATTTCGATAAAAAGAGAAAAGGGGGGTGTTTGAACTAAAAAAAAAACTAATTTAGTGCAGCCACATATAAATATGTCTTTTTTAAGTTATGAACCTTATTATTCACAGAGATTTTCTTTGTTTATATCTTTCTGTCATATGTACCTAGTCTCTTTAAAATACATTCACAAAACTTGGAATTTTAGGCTTGGCATAGGGTAGAGTAATTTTTGATAAAGACTGGATATTGATTTCTATTTATATTTTCTCTGGTGTTGTTGTATTGTTGGATTACTGTCTTATTGGTATTTACTTGGCATTTCTTGTTACTCATAAGATAAAACTATTTCAATCAACCACCTGTGATGTTATTTCATTCATGTCAATTTTTACCGCAGTTTTATAAAATATTTATTTTCATTTTGCACTTTCAGATTTCATCCAACAATAACATCAGTAACAACTTATACCTTGTATTGTAATAAAACGTAACGGCCATGAGTGACGAGGTGACTAATGTCCCAGTGACAAATGTCCCAGTGACAGAAGTCCCAGCGCCAGAGGAAGAGGCATGGTTCTCCACGTTGGATCTTCTTATTTTATCAATGCTAGCAGGGTTTGCTGTGTATTGGTTATTTTTCAAAAACAAGAAACAGGAACAGCCAGTGTTTAAGAAACTTGTTGTTCAGTAAGTAATGTATTATTAAAGGTTTTCACGGACAGATACTAATGTTACGATTGAACTGCCATTATCATTTCTGTGGATATATTTTTTTTGGAGGTGAGGTTCAATTTCCATGGGGGCCTCAGTGGCTGAGTGGTCTAAGTAGTTGAACTACTATATCACTAGCCAGTCAACACTGAGGTTGTTAGTTCAACTCCAATCTTAATTGACTAGGATTGTCAGTTTTCCTATCGAAGCCGATAGTCTGTGGTTCTCCCAGGGCTTCCAGCTTCCTCCATGAATAAATACTGACCACTGCGAAAACGGGAAATAGTGCAGAAAGAGGAGTTAAACACCAATCAATCAATCAATCAATTTCCCTGGATTTCTTTGGTAATGGTGAACCAATGAATTTAAGTTTTCCGATAGGCTTGTATGCAACCTTTTGTAAAATCACAAATTAAGGCATCTAAGAAAAATACATTTTTTCCTCGATCCACAAAAGACTGGTACCTGCAAAAATAAACATGATAAATGAATCCACAGTATTAAGTAACTTAGTTATTATAGTCATATGCATGTTACCTTTGTAACAATAACACATGAATTACATTACATTACATATGAAGGAAAAGTAACTATAAATCGTTTAAACTGTGCACACACATTTTCTAAATAATTAATGTATATATACATATTGAAAAAAAAACTCAGTCACTAAAAATTATAGACTCTATATCTGAAGGAAGTCATGGAAGTCTGCAAAGGAAAGCAAAAATATTAATCACAATCAAGGACAACAGATGAACTTTACATGCATGTTTTTTTTCCTTTTTTTCTTGGGTTACAGAGTATTTTATTATGTATATTTTATTTTATTAACAGACCTATGGCAGGAAAAATTGATGACCCAAGTTTTATCAACAAAATGAAAAATTCTGTAAGTTTTATTATACCTTCTTCAATATGAGGCTTTCTGGTACTTGTTTTAATACATAGAACAAAGTTGCTTCAAAGCATGATGTTAATGGTAGTTTTAAGATTAGATTTGTTTCATCACATGTAGATTTTGATTTAAAAAAGGGTTTGTTTAAAATCAAAAATGTAATATGTGCTATTAAAAAGGAGAAACAAAACAGCAGTTTTGGTGATAACGATTGCATGCACAATATTTAAAGTGCACTTTAAAGCTCATTGATAAGATAAACCTAAAAAAGCTCATTGATAAGATAAACCCAAAAAAGCTCATTGATAAGACAAGCCAAAAGTATTAATGTAGGGATGAGAATAGTGGTTAGTATTACTGTTATAATTATTGTCCGCTTAATATTGTATCAAGTGTAACATAATTCATTAATATGTTTCAGAAAAGAAATGTCATAGTATTTTATGGGTCACAGACAGGAACTGCTGAGGAATTCGCTGGGCGACTAGCTAAGGATTCTATAATGTATGGTATGAAGGGTATGGTAGCCGATCCTGAAGAATGTGAATTATATGAACTATCACGCCTGTCAGAGATAGACAATGCATTGGCGTTATTCTGTATGGCGACTTACGGTGAAGGAGATCCAACAGATAATGCTCAGGACTTTTACGAGTGGTTACAGAGTGGTGATACAGATCTCTCTGGAGTTAAATTTGCTGTATGTTTATATTTCTTTCTCAGTTGAATACATACCTGCTATGCTGATAATAGTGTCTATAAGATCTCACATAGTTCAAATTTAACTATTATAAATTTGTAAAATGTGAAAGCGTATATGCATTTCATTTGATTATTGTTAGTTATCCCAATTTAAAAAATTGTTTTTAGGAAGCAAAATATTCTGGTATGATTATAATTATCAGCTACTATAGCAGCAATCAACATGTAGCATTTGGTTGTAAACTTAAATTTCTGTCATTCCTGTCTTGATGAACAGCTAAAAACCAAGACACCATGATAAGTAATAAAATTATATTGAATTCATATTAATCAGCCTCACCAGGACAAGAAAAAAAAATATATATGTAGAGACAAAATGAAACTAATGTTCATTATAATAATGTGAAGTTGTCCTATTTATATATTTTTTTTCAATTGTAGGTGTTTGCTTTAGGAAATAAAACATATGAACATTATAATGCCATGGGTAAATATGTAGACAAAAGGTTAGAAGAGCTTGGCGGTACACGTGTGTTTGAGCTTGGAATGGGTGATGATGACGCTAAGTAAGTAGCAATGTGGTGAAGATCTGTCACATACATGTCTTAATTTCTTAAAGATTGATTGATTGTTGATGTTTAATGCCACTTTCGGTACTTTTGGTCTTATTATTGCAACCAGTTTTTATTCACGGAGAAAGTGGGAGTGCCAGGAGAGAACTACTGACCTTCACAAGGAAAACTAGCAATTCTAGTCATTTACGATTGGAGTTGTACCCTCTGTGTTGACAGGCTAGTGATCACTGTAAACAAACTCCTTAGACCACTCGGCCACAGAAGCTCCCCATATTTATAGACATGGCTTTCAGCCTTTACTTAATGTGTTTAAGTATTCAGATACTTTCCCAGGGAAAGCATTGAAACTTTTCAACCAGCAACGTTTCTATTCTCTTATATAATGTTTAAATAATTTTCTTTAAATACCAATTCTTGACAAATATTTTTGAATATATTGTAAATTCATTGTGGCTTTTTTTTTTTTAAATTCAACCATTCAAATGTCTTCATCATTTCTAGCAATGATGGGTGAAAAACAGTGAGAATGTCAAGACCTATTTCATCATGCAAGTCTTCTGGTCATAGTATTTTGGAAAAGATGCAAATTTAGTCAACTATTTTGAAACAATGAAATGATGACTTGACCTAGTAGATAGAATGCATCTTTGAGTTCTTCAGATCTGAAAAAGGGATTCAGCCTAGGACTCATAGAATATCCTGACTTTAAATACATTATTTGTAGTGCTTAATTTTCTCACTCTGTATTTATTTTACCTTTTTTCCCGTGTTTCGCAGCATAGAGGAAGATTTTGTAAATTGGAGAGAGAAGTTTTGGCCTGCAGTATGTGAACATTTTGGTGTAGAGGCTACAGGGGACCAGGGAAGGTTTGTATAGGATACAAACATGGCAGAGTTATTAGTATTTAGACCCAAATTTTACATTCTAGGTCAAATATGTTATATATTACCATATATCAGGAAATTTTCCTGTAGTCTAATTTTTGCAGAAGACATTTAAAAGCACAATTTAGCCTACACAGACATTTACCTGTTTATTTAAATGCACTGTACAAGGACTCAAAACATAAAATATCAACACAGCAAAGATTTAACTGCCCCAGCTACCAACACAAAAATAAACTAATATACGGTATAATGACAAAATATTATAGCTATATTCTCTTATTTTTGTTGGGTTATTTACATATTTAGCCTGTGTTTGTAGATAGCAATAAACATACATTATTTACACTTGTATGCAAATTTGTCTGCCATTACTTAAAAGTCACACAAGTTCCTGCAAAATATTGCATACCAAATATAAACATTTGACGTAAAAATTAAAAAGTGTTGCATAACGTCAGAAGGTCATTTGGAGCTTGATCTAGGGTCATTTGAGCAAATTCAGCTAAATACCCCAAATTGTTAATATGTCTGTGTTGTGATAGTGAATTAATATGTATGTAACATAGATTGACAGAGATATTGTTTTCAATTGAAATGTCCTAATTAGACTTTGTAAGAAAGTAAGAAGAAACCAATGGAAGAATAAAAAAATTGTTTGTCTTCTTCGCTACGCATGCAGCAGATGGAGTAATAGCAAAGACCGGTTCGGCTTGGACTCAGTTACGTGTTCAAATGGAGTGACATGTCTTCCAGCAGATTTTTACCTTGTGAGCTAGCATGTTAAAAATCCAGCTCATTTAGTCTGTAGTACAAAGCAGGGTTCATATTCATAATACAAGTAACATCAACATGTTCTCATCCTGAATATGCTTTTATTTTGCTGCTGGCATTAAACAGCTATCCATCATCCTTTTTTAAAGTACATATTTTAATGAAATAGGTATGACTTTGTATCAATGAATTGAAAATATAAGTCGGTCAGTAAACTAAGTTTGCAATTATCATTATTATTGTATAACAAATTTATTTTCCTTTAGGTGTCAGACCACCAATACTAAATTCCTATCTATTCAACCAATTTTGCAATTTTCACAGCTTTCTTTTTATTTTACCTTATGTTAAACATCATAGAAATCAGGTATATCCTGAATCATACATGTATCACCTTTCTACATGCCAATTTTCAAACCATGTTTAAAGTCTTGTGACGAAGAACAACTGTTTGGAAGCCAAGTACCACTAAAAATATCACCTGGTTTTCTGGAAATCTTAAATTAGTATACTTTGAAACGCATTAATCCTCAATTTGTAATGCAAACTCATGGACAAGTAAATTTTAGCTCAAAATGGTCTAAACATATTTCTCTTTCACCCAAATTTTCACATCTGCAAATTTGTTGGTTAGTTTAACATGTTTAAGTCAACAATGACTTCAAAAGCACTTTTTTTTGTCAGGGAAGGGCTCCATTTACATACGTTCTAAATAAGAGTGGGTAAATTGGTGGTCTGACACCTATATGGATTTTTAGTAGGCATATTCACATTTTTATGCCCCCACTTTAGCGGAGGGGGCATTAAGTTTTACCCTTGTCTGTCTGTCTGTACGTCCGTCCCAAAATTGGTTTCCGTTTTCTTACTTTATTTTGCCTCAACCAAATGGTAAATTTGAATTTTGGTGGCATCACTTTTACCATTCATGAGTTATGCTCCTTTGTAAATGAAAAAATTGCTGAATTTTTTGTTTCAGTTCTCTTACTTTAGTTTGTCTCAACCAAATGTTATTAAACTAATACACAATGCTTATTGTCACAAAATACAGATGAAGTTTGAATTTTGGTGGTGTCACTTCAACCGTTCTAGAGTTATGCTCCTTTACAAAAGGAAAAATAGGAATCTAATATCTGTTCTAAAAATATCAATGATGTAATTATTAAAAGAAATTTTAAAAATTGGAGTTATCTTCCTTTGTCCATAATTGTAGTTGAATCAACTACAACCAATGCTTTATACAATGCAATGTTCACTGAAAAAATTAAAACAATCTTTACCCTTCGGTGCTTACAAGCACTTTGATTAATGTTCTTCAGTTTTGTCCCTTTATAACTTTATATGATATGCAAGCGGGGGCATCATCTGTGTCCCATGGACACATTCCCCATTTATCTATTTATATTTTAGTGTGAGACAGTACAGTGTGACAATCAATGAAGATATACCTAAAGAAAAGATATACACAGGAGAAATAGCTAGGCTGGGATCATTTATTAATCAGAAATTGTAAGTTTAGAATTTCTTGTGTAACGTATTGTCACCTAAGCCTCTCTCCAATATTCGCAGAAAATATTTTTTTTTTTGGTGCTGAAAATTATTTCTGGCTCTTGAAGACTGAACCTTTGTAGTATAACATTAAATATGCTTCCTCTCACCAAATGTCAGGTATCACTTGCTAAAGTATTCATTCCTGAAAAAAAAAAAAAAAAAAAAAAAAGCTTGCTCGCCTCGATTTATTGTAGATAAAAGTCTGAAGAACAAGTATTTAATTTGGAGTGGCCTTTGTGAACACTGAACGGTTACTCTCTATTCAATTTTTGTGGTAACCCCTCAAAATATATCTTTGAAGGAAAATAGACATGGGTAATGGAGATAATCCAGTTACAAAACTGGCGAAGTCTTTCTACAAATAATGTCAGTTGTTGCAATTTCTATATATATATTTGTTGAATTGTTCCATATTAAGGTTTTCTCCACTTGAAACTGAATTTCTACTAATATTATAGCTGCCAAAAACTCTAACAAATCTATAAATTATATAATATTAAAAAACAAAATTTCACTTCTTAATTTCAGACCATATGATGCGAAGAATCCATACTTAGCTCCAGTGAGAGTAAACAGAGAACTACACAAAGGAGGAGATAGATCCTGTTTACATATAGAATTTGATATTACTGGATCTAAAATCAGGTACTATTTCTGTTTACCTATAGAATTTGATATTACTGGATCCAAAATCAGGTATGATTTCTGTTGACATATAGAATTTGATATTACTGGATCTTAAATCAGGTACTATTTCTGTTGACATATAGAATTTGATATTACTGGATCCAAAATTAGGTACTATTTCTGTTGACATATAGAATTTGATATTACTGGATCCAAAATTAAGTACTATTTTTGTTGACATATAGAATTTTATATTACTGGATCTAAAATCAGGTACTATTTCTGTTGACATATATAATTTGATACTACTGGATCAAAAATTAGGTACTATTTCTGTTGACATATAGAATTTGATAATACTGGATTCAGAATCAGGTATGATTTCTGTTGACATATAGAATTTGATATTACTGGATCTAAAATCAGGTACTATTTCTGTTGACATATAGAATTTGATATTACTGGATCTAAAATCAGGTACTATTTCTGTTGACATATAGAATTTGATATTACTGGATCTAGAATCAGGTATGATTTCTGTTGACATATAGAATTTGATATTACTGATCTAAAATCAGGTACATTTTGATATTATAGATTCTAAAATCAATTACTATTCTTATTCAAAACATACAGTATACTCCACCTTTTTTAGCAGAAAAAAAATGCAATTATATATATTTTTTTTTTATTTTTTTAATACTGATGCAACTGTATACTTGGTTTGATACACAATCTTTAAAATTATGATGCTTCTGAATATAAAATTTATTTATTATGAATATACCTGTTGTTAGTACTGTAAATTTAGAAACTATTGCGAGGAATTTATTTATAGCGAATAATAAGACTGAGTGAGTATCACAATAATAAGAACTCACATTTTAGATTTAATATATATATATCTGTAAGCAGATTTTCCTGAAATTGCAATAATTAATATCGAATATTTTTCCATTCTTCAAAAATTGCAATAAGAAATGCACTCAATAATTTCTGCATTTACAAAAGTTCTATTGGGAAGTAAAGCATTATAATTATTTATAGATTTGGAGAGCATGCAGTTTTAGATTTCTGAAATTTTTTTAAAATCTGAAACGCTTTTAGCGCTGTTCCATTAAAACATACATGGTATCCAGGGAAGGAACTTTGGAAATGGGGTAACTACCTATAGAGGCAATTTTAGAACTTCTCTTACATATTCACTGAACATAATAGTCTCTAACACCCATCCATAGCTGAGATTTCAAAGTGTCTTCCTGTGTCCCATGTTTGTTTTTTTATGGATCCGCTTTTTAAAAAGTAGTCCAATTATGAAGTGTAGCTAATAATTGTTGAAAGAATACGGAGTATCATGCATATTTAAATTGTTCAAATTTTTTTAAAATCTGAAACATTTTTAGCATGAATTTGAAATTGCTCTGATAAGTTCATAAGGTAGACATAAAAACTTTGCATTGTGTTTATATTTCTTACATTTAGATATGAGGCAGGAGATCATGTTGCTGTCTACCCTGTAAACGACTCAGAAATCGTAGAAGAAATCGGCAAAAGATTAGAAGTTGATCTGGACACAATATTCACACTTACAAATGTTGATGGTATGTCTTGTACATAATTCTGTGGTGCCAATAAAGTTAATCAGGGTGCTATCTAAAAATCAGTATGTATTATGGATGGTTGGTCCTGTCTTTTGGAATGGCCAGAGCTCTTTGAAGTAGAAACATTGTAGTGCTAAGACATGTTAACCAGAAGACACTGAATCCTGGATAGTCCTTCGGTACCTCTCTTGATTTATTGATTGTTGCTTGCTTAACGTCCAGTGTCAATTATTTTCATTCATATTCAGGACGAGAACAAATTTACAATTGATACAATAGGAAGCCAAGGATCTGCAAGGTAAGTCTACGTGGATGGAGGGCAGAAGATTGATTCTGCCACTGGTGAAAAGGGTATGTTTGAAAGCGACAGAAATTATGTCCTGCAATGGGACATTAAATGACCTTGATTCTGGTAACCTGAAACTACAGGTCTTACCAATACCTCACTTTCATTATCTGTTTATTCAAATGGAATATGTACCATGAAGATTTGAATAAAAGTACCGTAAACCCTATGACAATTATTTCACAAAGGAATACATAACTTCACATCTTTTTGTTTTATCACTTTTTAATTAACACATTTTTCTTTAAGAGGAACCAGTAAGAAACATCTGTTACCCTAAATTTGGTCTGTCAATATAGCACTGTCTAATGATTGTTGTAGATATTCAATGAACACTACTTTTCGGAGGAAGCCATACTGCAGAATTAGTTCAGTCCATACAGCTCTATCTTATAATTAATATCTCTTTCCAATGAAAATTTTTATTTTTCAGAGGAGGCCAATAAGAAACATCCATTCCCTTGCCCTTGTTCCTATCGTACGGCGCTGTCTCATTATTTGGACGTTACAAATCCTCCACGTGTTTTGTTGCTAAAAGAAATGGTAGAATATGCAAGAGAGGAGAAAGATAAAGAATTCCTTGCTAAAATGACAGCCTCAACAGCAGAAGGAAAGGTATGAGTAGCATATATTTTATGCCCCACCTAGGGGCATTATGTTTTTCGGTCTGTGCATCTGTTCGTTCGTTCATTCGTCCATCTGTCCAGATTCAGGTTAAAGTTTTTGGTCAAGGTAGATTTTGATGAAATTGAAGTCCAATCAACTTGAAACTTAGTACACATGTTCCCTATGATATGATCTTTTTAATTTTAATGCCAAATTAGAGTTTTGATCCCAATTTCACGGTCCACTGAACATAGAAATTGATAATGCGAGTGGGGCATCTGTGTACAATTGACACATTCTTGTTTTCGTCATGCTTAAAGATATTGACTTGATATTTGTTATTTAGTTTACACCATGACAAGTTATAGATCAAGTTAGCATTTTGTTCCAGTACAATAAATTTTTAACCGGTAGGGGACTATGTATTGCCATGCAATACTCTCAGAATGCTTGTTTAATAAATGATATACATAAAAAATTACAAGATACTGACATTAACTTAATGCACCATATGTGCATCTGAAAAATTAATTTCTCATCAGAAGTGCTATATTCCAATTCTTTTTTTTTCCAGCAACTATATAATGATTGGATAATAAAGGACCATCGTAATATTTTAGCTGTATTAGAAGATCTGCCGTCACTGAAACCTGAAATTGACCACTTGTGTGAACTTTTGCCAAAGTTACAAGCTAGATATTATTCCATCTCATCCTCACCTAAGGTAGGAATTATAAGAGGCATCATTAATGAGTACATTTTGGTCTATTATGTTTTCCTAACTCATGATTTACAATTTTACACTTCAGGGGCTCTTTTCACAAAAAATCTTACAACTAAAATTGATCGTAAGTTATACTGAAATGTTCATGACTTATGAGTGATTTTACTCGTAAGATTTTTTGTGAAAAAGATTGCAGACATTTTAAGGATTAAACCATACCTGCCAACTTTCACGATTTAGGCGTGTACTACACGATTTTGACCCCTTGTCACGATTGCACGATCGTGATCGTGAAAAAAGCTCTAAAACACGATTTTGTGAAAATCTACACGAAAAAATTATGTTCTCGATTTTGAACTGTTCCCAAGGGAAGACAATCGTGATCAGCCAATCAAAATCTGTGTTTCTCATGATCAAGTTAATAAGCCAATCAAAATGGTTCTCTCTCATGATTATTTGGACATGCTAAATTTTGAACTTGTTTGGATTCCTCTGTGTTTGTCAGAATTGTAAAATCGTGAATATGGCAGGTGAATCTTCATCTTCAAGAAGGTTCTTGCACAGCTTAAGAGTAAAAGCATGGCTGATTGACAAAATTCAATGATGCAGTACTACCATAAACATAATAAATAGTAGCTTATTGACATTACCCTTACTGTAAGTTACACTACAGTGTTATCATTCTTGTAATTAACAGGTGTGGAACAACCCCCCAAATGAGGGATATCCCTTAAATGAGAGTCAGTCCCCCAGATAGGGGGTCACTTTTGTTGTTGTATAAAAGAAAAAAGAAAAACTTAGCTTTTTTTAACTTAAAAGGGGGAGAATTAATTATATTAATGAACAACTTTTCTAAAAGAGGGATCCACTTATTTTTAAAAATAAAGAAGATATAAGTCCATGTATTTTACAAAATTCTTGGACATGTTTTGACCATATAATTCCAGATAGATGTATAGTTCCTTAGGGAAAGTTTCATCAAATAATATAAATATGTGCTCTTTTGTACTTAGAAGTGGTTTTTACAAAAAAATATTTTTTGTCACTTGAAATATACCCCTCATAAAAGGGATAGTCATTACATTGAGGGCTTACCCCTCATTTGAGGGGTTGTTTCCAACCTGATTAAATTACCAAATAATTGAAAGCACAATATGTACCATGCTTTATTTTTCACAAGGACCAAATAAATGTCCTTCTTTGTGCATAATTTTAAATTGGGAAAAGTCAACAATCATTTAATATTCTTACACATTCACAAGAAAATATATCCTGGTACATGTATTCTAGCTACATGTTCATTTCTTCTACTGATATAAGTACTAGAATCATGCAAATAAAAAGAAGAAAAAAGCTTATAAGCTGACATCATCAGTATACCATATAAAAAAAGATATTGCACTTTTTCTAGAGCACAAAACAGCACACGCAAAAACGCCTCAAAAAATTGTAACCTTTGAAATTGTTGTCACGCACTAAAACCCCCATGGAGATTTTCAAAAGTTGGCAGGTATGATTAAACACCTCATCTGGGATATCAGGATATATATTTATTTCCTTTCTCTGGAACAACTACATAATTTTTAGTTATTTTGACTTTGGGGCTAGGTGAGTATGGGGTTAGATGAGATTTTTTATATTTCTTGTAACTTAAAACTATTTTTGAAAGTTCTAATTTTTGATGGGATGCACATTTTGAATGGAAAATTTGTTAAATTTTGATATTAAAAGTAAATTTGTACTAGATTTTAATCAAGTATCTGTTTTTTATTAACTGGATTTTCTTAAGTTTAAATTGGACTGTATCCAATAATTGAAAGCATTTCCTCTCTGAACTGCATAAAGGAAAATATGAAGTACACAAATTCAACCGTAAAAGAGAGGCGAAAGATACCAAAGGAACATTCAAACTCATAAGTTGAAAAGAAACGGACAACACCATGGCAAAAATACTAAAAAGACAAACATCAGTATACAAAACACAACATAAAAAAACTAAAGACTGAGCAAGATGATTCCCACCAAAAACTGGAGTGACCTCAATAATAATATAATAATCTGTTACATGCTGAAGGACTTGTGCTTATCTGTATATATGGATTGGCGAAACTTGATTTTAAATATGTATAGTAAGAGTTTGACATTTTGCAAATATTCAGTCAAGTATTTTCTTTATGTAAAAATACTTTATGAATTGCAGGTACATGACACAAGTATTCATATCACTGCTGTAGTCGTAGAATATAAGACTAAGACGGGAAGAACACAGAGAGGTGTCGCCACTAACTGGCTTAAAATGAAGAAACCAGATAATGGTATCAAACCAAGAGTCCCAATCTATGTCAGAAAGTCACAGTTTAGATTACCATTCAAATCAAACACTCCTGTGATCATGATTGGACCAGGAACAGGGTTAGCTCCATTTAGAGGCTTTATACAGGAAAGATTTGTGGCAAAGAGAGATGGTAATGTTATATTCTGGTTAATGATATCTATTTGCCATTAGTAAAACCATTGTAAAATTGTATCATTGAAAATACATTTAATATTATTGCATTAGTGCAACAGTAAAACTCTTTAGTATTCTTTTCTACATTCATTGATATAAAAAACAAATGTTTTAAAGTCATATGAAACGAGTTTCTTGTAATGTAAATTATTGCATATAAATTGAACTTAGTCCTGTATGCACGTTTATTTAACATTTATTACAAAACTATAAAGTATTATTGACAAATAATATTTCATCCAGCAATTGTTGATTGCATGCTAATTAACTTTCGAGATTGTTGCTGAAGTTTACCAGATTGTGACATTGATAAGCAATCAGCACAGAGCATGTGGAGCATGTGAAAAGTAAATCAATTGATAGAGCCATGATATTTTTTTTACATTTTCCATGCCTTCCCATTTGTTAGTTAAACTTTTCCTTAACAGTTGTTAAATGATTTGGGGTATTTAATTTGTTCTTTAAGAATCGGTTATTACTATTTACCTTCCAGTGCATGTTTGTTTACAATCTTTCACCACGGTTTTGCCCTTGCACTTGGGCTGTGCGGTGGGTGAAGTTGTTAAAGATCAACCACTGAATTACAGGGTCCTATTTTTGGACAGGCATATAAAGAAAGTGGCAACTTAAACATAGTTTATTCTGTTACTAAATTTTTACTGTTGGTTCTTGTAGAATGGGAAGTTTTTTATTTGATTTTCATTCAAAAACATTTTAGTTTCTACTAATGCGATTAAAAGGATTTGTAAAAATGATTTAAAAGTTGTTGAAGCATGTATGCCTTTTATTTTGTATAAGGGTAGAACCAAGTTTTACTTTAAAATTAGCATTCTGCAGTCAAATATGAAGTTACAAACAACAGCTCATTCCCCCCCCAAAAAAAAAAACATTATGTGCTATGATTGTCAATTGACACTAAAATTTACTGTCATAATGGATTCCACCAGACATAATTACAAATATGTACATAGTATGAGAAGATATCTATTCTAGATGAACCCTGTAAAGAACTGAAAAGTCAAAATGATTAAGTATAAATGATAAATATAGATGTAATTTTTTTAATTTTAGGTAAACCAGTAGGAGACACTGTTTTGTACTTTGGTTGTCGCCACAAAGCCGAGGACTTTATCTATCATGATGAGCTAGAGGAATATGAGAAAGATGGTACATTGACACAGATGCACCTAGCATTCTCACGGGACCAGGATCACAAGGTATATGTTCAACATTTATTGGAACAGAACTCAGAAGAGACGTGGAAGTTATTAGAAAATGGTGGACACATCTACGTGTGTGGGTAAGTGAGTTATGCTGTTAGAATTTTTTTTTATTTAAACACTTTATTTTCAGAATCTGAAATATAAGACAGTCTGCTGTATTTAAAGATGAACATAAATCAATTTATTCCATAGAACTTAATCTTTATAATCCAAGAATTATCTAGTATTTCAGACTGTCAAGAGTGGATAAATATCAAAATTCATCGATATTGAATGTTTGAATAGATATTGATTGCCCTTTATGATTTTTGATAATTTTTCAATCTCCCATTTTGGATAGTATTATGAACAAACTTTGACTTAAAATGTTTAAATTGCATATTAATAACAAATGAAGTACAATTAGTACTTTTGATTGTCTGGTCTGTCGTTAGATACACACACTGATTTAGGTGAAAATGTTTGTTTGCTTCTGTTAAGGTAGTCCCTGTGACATAGCATAACTGCAGAAATTTTTGATGATTTTGAAACACATCTTCATTTACTGTCCTGTTTTGTGGATGTAATAATTTAAAATTTTGTGTGCACATTGATGAATAAATTGTGAACAGTAAACATTTTATATTGATTTGTGAAAATCCATTAGGGCACCTGAAGACCAATTTATTGGGTAACTTAACTGTAATGTTGTAACAAAGTCAACTTATGTGTTTTACACTTGTATACTTATGTCATCTCTCAATGTTTAAACTGTTTTTGTTCCATAAATGTTGAATTACTTGAATAATAAAAAAAAAAAGACGATGCATGCCTGATTCTATCTTCCATGGATACATATTGTTTTTTTGATGAGTATTTTTAAAGTTGTTAATTCACTGAAAAAATGGTTAAATTCTTATTTTTGAAGTGTATGAGTTAATGTCTGTTAGGTACATATCATATGACCTTGACATCATTGCATGCTACAGGTGTATTATTTGAATTTTCAAAATTATTTCTGTATCTCGGAAATTATATGTGATTGGCAATATTTAGTGCAGGAATTCAATTTACAAAAACAAAAACATGTGCATCCGACAGGTCATTTCATGTTAAATGCCATTTCAGAGTTCATTGCATTGACCTTTGATGAAATTTAGATATTGCAGCAGGTGTAACAAAAGACATATTTACACTCGTATGCAAAGGAGAAGGTCCGGTAAGGGATTATTTTGGCCTAAAATTTGAAGTATATCTGATGAAAGATTTTTTATATTTTTGAACACTTAAGTGTCTTCTTCAGTTGATTCAATTAGTTTATGTAAAATATTTGAACTGATTTGGTCATTAAAGACTCCTAAGTTCAAGCTTAAATATGAAAAATCTATCAAATATGCCACAAAACGTCACTTTTCAGCCTACTCCTTTGTCAGTCATTCATAAAATCATACATGTTCCTGTAAAATTTGACATCACAATTTAAAAAATTTGACGTCACAATTAAAAAGTGATTGTTGCTTGGCATCAGAAGGTTATTCGGAGCAGATCTTAGGTCATTTGGAGACAAAATTCAGCTAGATACCAAAAGTATGACGTTTATTGAGTGTGTTAGCTATAAATCTATGTATTTATTTTAAAATATTCACAAATGTCAAATGACAAATGAATAAAATTATTGAACATACAATCATTAACAATGCCTTCTTTGAACTTTTTTTCATGTGTAATGTAATGTGTGTGAATTGTGATTTCTCATGTTTCTTGTGCTGTGAAGTATCTGTTACATTTGTCAATCTGAAACACTGCTGCATATTGTGTAAACATGATGCAATGGTTGCACTTTTTGTAATGATATAAGCATGGATTTTTATTCATTGTATAAGAAATTACCATTCAGTTGACAGAAAATGGACATTGTATCGTATTTGTGGACCTTATGAATAAAAGATGATATTAAAGGGTTAAACATCAATAAGATAGCAACCTAACAAGATAGAAAAGCCATAAGATAAGTCTACAACAATGAACATGTGCATACATTTATCTCTAAATTGACCTGTGTCTAAAAAAGCTAAGAGTAAATATTAAAGATATGCCATCAAATTCCATATAAACTACAAACAAAAAAATTAGAATACATCATAAGACAACCAATGAAGAACTTTCTAGCTGAGGATAGCCACAAAAATATTAAAAATCAAAGATCTGCTATTAAATTTCCAAAAATACAAAAGAACATTAGAGTACATCAGAAGGCAACCAATGAAGAACTTTTTAACCGAAGATAGCCACAAAAATATCTAAAACTTGTTTTTTTTTGGTCACTTTTTTAGCAAAAGGTAACATGTGATTATGAAAATTATAGATTTATTTAGAAAAAGGACTTAAATTCAATACAATTAGGTCTATTTTGTAAAATCCTAAAATGCTTTTAAAATTATTTTTGTATTATATAAAAAAGAAGATGTGGTATGATTGCCAATGAGACAACTCTCCACAAGTGACAAAATGACACAGAAATTAACAACTATAGGTCACCCTACGGCCTTCAACAATGAGCAAAGCCCATACCGCACAGTCAGCTATAACAGGCCCCGAAATGACAATGTAAAACAATTCCAACAAGAAAACTAACGGCCTAAGTTATGTACAAAAAATGAACGAATAACAAATATGTAACACATAAACAAACGACAACCACTGAATTACAGGCTTCTGACTTGGGACAGGCACATACATATAGAATGTGGCGGGGTTAAACATGTTAGTGGGATCCCAACCCTCCCCCTAACCTGGGACAGTGGTGTAACAGTACAACATAAGAACGAACTGCATGTGTGGCCTGCCATTGGTGTAAGCAGAGACATATATATAATTGTATATATGTCTCTGGTGTAAGCAACATTGGATTCATTTATTTATATTAAAATCAAAGAGTAAAGCTACCATGAATATATAACTCCCTCATAGGATTAGTATTGAAATGATCAATGCATGTTTTAGCCGGGAGTCACATAACTATGGTCATGGTAAACAGACAACCATAAAAAATTTAAATAACTTTTCATATGATAAATATCTATTATTTGAATCATTCCATGAGTTTGACAATCTCCAGTTTGATTTGGTTTATTTTGTGTATGAAAAGGTTTGTATTATTTTAAAAAGATAAGTCATCTAATGTGGATTCATAATATTCGTTGGCTACCAATTTTTGTGGATTTGGTACGGTGGGTATGATGAACCACAAATTTAAATGTTTAACGAAAAACAAATTTTCATAACATGCAAATATGATAGTATGCAAACTTGGACAAAACCACAAAATTAAGTATCTACATAATTTTTTTTTATCAATCCACAAATGGCACCTACGAAAATGAATGAATCCACAGTATTCCACATTTTTTAATTGAATTGATTTATATTATTTGTTTTGTTGGTTTTAGTGATGCTCGTAATATGGCCAGAGATGTACATAATGTTATCCTGAAAATTCTAATGGAGAAAGGAAACATGGATAATGAAAAAGCTGAAAACTACATCAAGAAAATGCAGAACAAGGGACGTTACTCTTGTGATGTCTGGAGTTAATACCAGTCAAGGTCATTTAGGTGCTATGAATTGTTAACTGTGAATCTGTTTGATGTCTTTAATGAGAAGAATTCCTATGTTGTTGCCACTGCAACTGTACATTTATTTCATGGATATAAAAATTTTATTATGTTGATTAAAAAAGGTTTTCCATGTAAGACGCTAACTTTTTTTAGTGGCAAAAATAAGTAATGAAATGATTATCATCTTTATTCATTCTTGAAATTTTTAATTCAACGAACCTTGAATTTTTCAGGAATTCGTTGATTTTACTTTTTAAGAATTATAATATACTTATTTTATTGACACCCATTTATGTATATTAGATACAAATGAAGTGAGGAATGATAAAATACATATTTGTCTGAATTAAAAAAATATAAATCTCCTCATCATTGTAATTACTATAAACACATAAGAGGCTTAGTTAATTTTTTTATTAATCTCTATATATGAGATATTGTCAGCTTTAGGCATGATGTATGCATGGGCTTAGGACAATTGCTGTTGATATTCACTATAGAAACATTTAAATAAATGCCATCTTCTTCAAAAAATAAATATGTGGTATGAGGCATGAAGATATTTATAATAGCCAGTGTCGTGAAAAGGGACTCTCTGTTTTTTGTTTTTTTTGTTTTTTTAATATGTATGGCATGAAATTAATTTTTAATGTCATGAAAAATACACTAGAAATAACAAGTGTTTACAAGCTGTACAAGTTCACATATATTTGTTCAACAAATATTGATAAATGTAGGAATTACTTTGCAAAATGTATAATGCAATGCTTAGGAAAAAGTCCAAGCAGTTTTAAGATTTTAAGGAAAAATAGCCAACATACATAAGAGGCTAACATCATTTGTATATATTTTTATTTATGATATACAGGAAAAGTTGACAAGTATAGAAACTAACATCATACAAATACATTGATATAAACTCTGATTGATTATAGAAATAAGACACATGAAATAAAAGTGATATTTTTACCAATGGAGGTAAACAAAAAAAGACCTAGGAAACTCCCCCACAAAATATAGGATATTTTTGATATTTTAAAACCATTTTTAGTTTGAGCAAACTACTATAAGCAATATGATAACTAAATACACAAAAGGACCTAAAAATTCCTGAATTCAGGTTGAAATGATTAACTCAAGAAAACATTTTTCTCTCATCTACATTGTAAATAAATTATAATCATACAATAATAGGAGGAATCAATAGTAATAATTGATTACTCCAGGGAACAGTGAAACCTGTGTAAAGTGAACTCTTGTACTGTTAGCAAACTTCTGGGTCTTGAAATGCCCTTGTGTATTTCTTTCTCTCATTAATTTGTATTCCTTTGGAAACGAAATGCTAGGAAAGATCTGTCATAGAATTTTTAACACTAGTGAATTAACTTCAAAAGGAAAGAGTACACTGATATATATATCTTTATATATTATATTTATTACTAGACATCACAGAAGTTCCAATAAAATTTGGACATCACAAGAGAAAATATCCGATGCCACAAAGGAAAAGTGATCGTTGTATGACGCCAATACTTTAAGTGTTACAAATTCTTAGGTCCAGGGTCGCAGATTCCCAAATACTTTAAGTGTTACAAATTCTTAGGTCCAGGGTCGCAGATTCCCAAATACTTTAAGTGTTACAAATTCTTAGGTCCAGGGTCGCAGATTCCCAAATAATGATAAGGTCTGTGGAAAAAATTGACTGTAACAGTACCAGGACATAGAATTGGTCATCTTTAGTAATTTGACAGGTTTTTGCCGAGCTGTCCATGCACCTGTCTGGAAAGATAATCAATCTGTAACCCTACTGTTTAAACTATGTGATATGTTCTTTTAGTTTGAGGAGTATTTCATAAGTATGTTAATTAAAAAAATCAGGATTTGATTAATAATCAATGCTTGAACAATTGCATGTAGAAATTTATTTATAATTTTGATAGAAGATTCCAGTTTCAGTATGAAATAGATTCCTGTAAAATATGTATTGTTCAAACGCTTTGTTCATTATAGCCTACATTTATTTATAGCCATACAATATTTACATTCTCATCCCAGGCTGCAGGTTTTAGGGTGACCCTAAAGAATAAAAGCAATAGAATCAAAGTTCTTTTATATTGTTTTTTTTTTCCCATTTTACATCAATTTTGGTTGTTCCATACTTATTTACTCATTATCTGTTTTTTTATGCGCCCGCCCTAGTGGAGGGAGCATTAAGTTTTACCCTTGTCCGTCTGTACGTACGTCCGTACATCCGTCTGTATGTACATCCGTACGTCCATCCGTATGTCCCAAAATTGGTTTCCGTTCTCTAACTTTAGTTTGCCTCAACCAATGTTATGAAACTTATACACAATGCTTATTACCACAAAACACAGATCAAGTTTGAATTTTTGTAGAGTCACTTTTACCGTTCTAGAGTTATGCCCCTTTACAAATGGAAATATTGCTGAATTTTTCATTTCCGTTCTCTAACTTTAGTTTGCCTCAACCAAATGTTATGAAACTTATACACAATGCTTATTACACAAAACACAGATCAAGATTGACTTTTGGTGGCATCATTTTTACCGTTCTAGAGTTATGCCCCTCTACAAATAGAAAATTGCTGAATTTTTCGTTTCCGTTCTCTTACTTTAGTTTGCCTTTACCAAATGTTATGAAACTTATACACAATGCTAATTACCACAAAACACAGATCAAGTTTGAATTTTGGTGGCGTCACTTTTACCGTTCTAAAGTTATGCCCCTTTTAAAATAGAAAAATTGCTGGATTTATTCGTTTCCGTTCTCTATCTTAAGTTTGCCTCAACTAAATGTTATGAAACGTATACACAATGCTTATTACCACAAAACTCAGATCAAGTATAAATTTGGGTAGCGTCACTTTTACAGTTCTTGAGTTATGTCCCTTTATAACATTATATGCAAGCGGGGCATCATCTGTTTCTCATGGACACATTCCCCATTTATTTTTTTAATTGTTTATCTGATTTTTCTTGAATTTATGTGGCAGTTTCTTTTATTTTCAAAATTTCTTAAATAACTTTGGTAGCAAAAAAAACCATGTTTTTGGATATGTCTGACTATGATAGGCTTGACATAATTCTTATTGTTGCCATGCTAACCATGATGCTATTAAAAATCCTGGGAACGCTGATGCCATTTTTAGTAACATCTTGGATTTTTACAATGTACAGTGTTTTGTTACATCTCTTCAGTTCTGACCAAGGAGGACAAAATAAAATAAAAATCTTCCTGACTAGAGGGATGAAGAATTAAACATTCATTTTTTTTATTGGCCAAATTATTGATGTATATTTATATAATGTATATTTTTATCCTTTATCTTGTATATTTGTATTTATAATTTTATAATTGACATTTCAATTATAGATTTGATGAACTTGAAACACTATATTTAATTTGTGAAATATGTAATATATATATATGAAAATAATGTATTTCTGTTATTGCCATAGCAGATAGATGGGAAAATGTTTCATGCATAGATCTAATCGGAATTATCTTTAAGAAGCTGTTTGAAGAAAAGAAAATGTCAGTTTAGGAACGCATTCATGTCAATTTAATGAGAAAAAAAAATGAGTCAGTTTAAAAATATTAAATAAAATTATGGAAAACTGAAGATCCATGTGTTGTCAAGTTAGATTTGATTGATTTCAATGGTAATTGTAAATTTGGTGATATCTGTGGTAGTAAGTCCCCATACAGACGTAGTCAAAGGGGACTATAGGTTTGCACTCTGTTCGTCTGTCTGTCCATCTGTCAGTTCAGCAAATCAGTTTTCTGCACTTTTTTAGCTCACCTGACCTGAAAGGTCAAGTGAGCTTTTCTCATCACTTTGCGTCCGTCGTCCGTCGTCCGTAAACTTTTACAAAAATCTTCTCCTCTGAAACTACTGGGCCAAATTTGACCAAACTTGGCCACAATCATCATTGGGGTATCTAGTTTCAAAAATGTGTCCGATGACCCCGACAACCAACCAAGATGGCCGCCATGGCTAAAAATAGAACATAGGGGTAAAATGTAGATTTTGGCTTATATCTCTGAAACCAAAGCATTTAGAGCAAATCTGACATTGAGTAAAATTGTTTATCAGGTCAAGATCTATCTGCCCTGAAATTTTCAGATGAATCGGACAACCCGTTGTTGGGTTGCTGCCCCTGAATTGGTAATTTTAAGGAAATTTTGCCAGTTTTGGTTATTATCTTGAATATTATTATAGATAAAGATAAACTGTAAACAGCAATAATGATCAGCAAAGTATGATCTACAAATAAGTTAACTTGACCAAAATGGTCAGTTGACCCCTTAAGGAGTTATTGCCCTTTATAGTCAATTTTTAACCATTTTTCGTAAATTTTTGTAATCTTTTACAAAAATCTTCTCCTCTGAAACTACTTAGACAAATTTAACCAAAATTGTCCACAATCATCATTAGGGTATCTAGTTTAAAAAATGTGTCCGATGATCCTGCCCGCAAACCAAGATGGCCGACATGGCAAAAAAATAATACATAGGGTAAAATGCAGTTTTTGGCTCATATCTCTGAAACCAAAGCATTTAGAGCAAATCTGATGGTATAAAATTGTTCATTAGGTCAAGATCTATCTGCCCTGAAATTTTCAGACCAATCAGGCAACATGTTGTTGGGTTGCTGCCCCTGAATTGGTAATTTTAAGAAAATTTTGCAGCTTTTGGTTATTATCTTGAATATTATTATAGATAGAGATAAACTGTAAACAGCAATAATGTACAGCAAAGTTAGATCTACAAATAAGTCAACATGACCAAAATTGTCAATTGACCCCCTAAGGAGTTATTGCCCTTTATAGTCAATTTTTTACAATTTTCATAAATTTTGTAAATTTTTGTAAATTTTTACAAAATATTTTCCACTGTAACTACTGGGCCAAGTTCATTATAGATAGAGATAATAGTAAGGAGCAAGAATGTTCAGTAAAGTAAGATCTACAAACACATCACCATCACCAAAACACAATTTTGTCATGAATCCATCTGTGTCCATTGTTTAATATGCACATAGACCAAGGTGAGCGACACAGGCTCTTTAGAGCCTCTAGTTTCTTCGTGCTTGAAGATATTGATTTGATATTTGGTATATAGTTTAACCATGACCAGTTACAGATCAAGTTCGAATTTTGTTCCAGTCCAATGATGTTGTGACGGGTTGTGGTTCTTGGACTTTGAAGATTCATGCAAGTAATCAGTTTTCTGCACTTTTTTTCGTCATGCTTGAAGATTTTGATTTGATATTTGGTATATAGTTTTATCATGATGAGTTACAGATCAAGTTCTAATTTTGTTCTGGTCTGATAATTTTGTGCAGAGTTATGGTCCTCGGACTAGAAAAACTCGCGCAAATAATCAGTTTTCCACACTTTTTTTCGTCATGCTATAAGATATTGATTTGATATTTGTTTATAGTTTACACCATGAGAACTTATAGTTCAAGTTAGCATTTTGTTCCAGTACAATGAATTTTTAACCGGTAGGGGACTATGTATTGCCATGCAATACTCTCAGAATGCTTGTTGTTGATTAATGTAGTCATTGTTGATTGCTGTAAGTATTGTTTTACTTGAATTTGAATCCTGTTGCTTTTGTAGTGAGCCTTTCATATAAAACAACCATTGTTGTATTATATACCATGGTATTAGTTTTACTACATTTTTATTTCTGTCAGTTTGGATTAGTACTCATTAGAGCAGTATCACCCATTGAATTATTATTACAGTTCCCTCTGATTCTTCAACATTTTTGTCCTTAATTTTTCATCTCTTATTTTATTAATTGTACTTTAAAAAAAATAAATGTAAAAACAAGTTTGGTTTAAGCGCAACTATAATTTGTACTTCATGAGTCAATATCTTGTTTACAATTTTGATATGAATTTTATGGTTTTAATTTTTTCTTTAGAAAGAGAATGTAAAACTAGAAATCTAGAAAGTAGGATCTTAACTGATACCTTTTAAAATTACACCAATAAATATATTGCATTCAATTTTTAGTATTAAAGATTCAAGCATGCATATTTATCCTAAGGAGGATAAACCTATTTTGTAGACCCTCAATAAAATTCTATAAGGTAATTATAGGATATCAAATTGTTTGCTTGAGATTTTTCTTTATTGTTAATCATGAGAGATTTTTCTTTATTGTTAAACATGAGAGATTTCTCTTATTGTTAAACATGAGAGGTTTTTCTTTATTGTTAAACATGAGAGGTTTTTCTTTATTGTTAAACATGAGAGATTTCTCGTTATTTTTGATTTCTCGTTATTGTTAAACATGAGAGGTTTTTCTTTAGTGTTAAACATGAGAGATTTTTCTTTAGTGTTAAACATGAGAGATTTTTCTTTAGTGTTAAACATAAGTGATTTTTCTTTATTGTAAAAATTGAAAGATTTTTCTTTAGTGTTAAACATGAGAGATTTTTCTTTGTAAAATAAAAAAAAAACTAGTGAATTTTTTTTGAGAAATGGGTTGTAGTTGGGCAAATAGTTGACAGCAATTCAGTATGCCTGTAAGAAAACAAAACAATCTTTTCAGTTGCTGGAAAAAAGAATTGCTTTTAATTTATTTCTGAAATGTAAACAGTTATCTATTATCTATTAATTCACTGACCTTTTAATTTTCAAGGCTAGATAGCCATTTTCTAGGCAGTTGTTCAAACCAATATGGCAACATAGAATTATAATTTTAATAAAAATCAATTCACCATAATGGCTGCCTTTTTTAAATTATGAAAATGTCGCTGTTTTTATATAATCTGCTTTTCACAAAGTCAAATATGAAAAATATGTACAAAAAATTGTTCATTGTCAAAGATCATCCAGTTATATTTTTGGAGATGATTTTAAATGATTTTTACAGTGTATATGGCTTGATAATGTCAATTTTATTTGTAAAAATCTATTCTATGTGTCTTTAGAAAATCTTATGGTTCACTTCATAAGTTTCAGTTGGGGATTCAAGGGGGAAGAAGAGAACAATACCCCCCCCCCCCCTTTCTTTAAATCCTGGATCTGCCTTGAGTATTATATTTATTTATAATAGTTGTATGATAATCATTATATACATTAGAGTTCTGTAAAAAGGAAATAAAATTTGCTGGAATAAAGACATATTCTCCTGATTAGAATATAACATTGTAGCATCTTAGAAATGCAATTGATATTTTTAAAAATGAAGGATTACATTTTCTAGCATGTTTATAGTAATCTATTGTCCTCAAGCAGATCTTTTATAATGTAAAAAACACAAAATGTTCATCTATCAATAAGTTATATTTATTAAATGCTTGCAGTCTGATTGGTTAATAGGCAATCATGTGACATAACAATTAATTCTTCATATCTTGATGTATTTCATGTAAAATAAGCATTCAAAATTTTCAGACTGGCATTATTAAATAAAATTAAAAGAATTTGTATCATCATTGATTTCAAGATATCCTGTTGGTGTAGAACATGAAAATTTCACTTTAAAATTTGGTTTGTCTGAAGTGCTTTTCTTGATTTACCTTTACCAGTTACTCTCAATTCCCCAAAAAATGAAAGCCAAGTATGTGTAAATACTTGGAGCATCTGTGGACCTTTATGACCAAAATGGGACATAAAAAGACTAGCTGAATCCACCCAAGGTCAACTTTGCCTGAAGGAGCTGGAACCTTTTATTAATCATTCCTTAATTTATCAACAGAAACAAAAGAAAGGTATGATATAAATGATGTAAGCATCATGTTAGTACCAAAGTACTGACTTTTGAGCTGATAAAGATGTATGATTCACCTACATGCATCCTTTTATCTACAGATTTCAGTGCCTTCAGATAAACATTGGCTTAAAGTTTATATGTATAAATGTATGACATTAGTACAATTGTATCAGCTGATGTGGAACAGACATTGGTGTTGATAGAGATCTTGGATGATGGTGGTGGTGGTTGTTGGGTGTTTAACATCCAGCAGCAAATTAAATGCATCTCCAGGATGAGAACAAGTAATGCAATATGAATATTTACCTTGCGTTGTACTAGCCAGACATGCTGAATTTTTAACATGCTATTATACAAGGTAACAGTCTGCAGGAAGATATGATATTCTACAGGAACACATTTTACGACTCCCAGTTGACCAATTTTTGCTCTAACTTCTTTTAAATGCTGCGTCCTTATGAAGAAGCACCAAAAACAATTTCATAGTCTTTGGTTTGACTCTGATAGTTTGAACTCATGACGACCCAACTAAAGGTGAATACGAGACCACTGAGGCAGTGTAAACCTTGAATAGTTTCTGTTGAATTTGTTCACATACTTTTAGTATTAAATTTTAGAACTTGTCATATAGTATAGACCCTTGACTATTGTTTGACGACTGGATGTTTAGCTATAGATGTATTTTGTTCAATTCCTGTTGCCCTGTTGCCTCCTTACTGACGCACATCATGTGTCTCTTTTATTCATTCCATGAAGTTATTTGGTTTATATTCAACAATTATTTGTGGAAGTCCTTAAATATTTCAGTTTATCCTGAAATTGAATTATAGAGGTCCTGAAATATTTCAGGTCTTCAATTGTTTATGGATATCTTCAATTTGAATTATGAAGGTCCTGAAATATTTCAAATTGTAGGTGGGACACTTTAACCCTTTTGTGTTAGAAGTAATAAGCTGACACATGCAGTACTTCAACCTTTTCATATATTTTGAATATTTAGACATGCAAACCATTTCATATATTTGTGAGGAAAAAAACTCTCAGACCTTTCGCTATTTCATGGAGATTTTATCTACATTTGACAAATTTCTAATGCGTTTATGACTGGATTAAATCTCGCCTTTGAAAAATACTAACATCTGATTCAGTAGTTTCAGATACCTATGACATAAACAACAGCCTGATCATATACCGGTATTTAATCTAGTTTTCTCGCCCTTGTCATCTATTTAGTGACCTATTTCAGTGGCTCATCCCATATGTTTTTGTATGTTTTGTATAGCCAATGTTTATTGTCAATTTCGGTAACAATCCTGTAATTTTGGAATTATTCCCCCAAAAAAGATGAAATCTTATCTTTCTCTACCACTCAATAACAAGTGAGTCTCCTCAGGATAAATTATGTGCATGCCGCCAACTGCGCTTGATATTATCACAGGTAACTGATTCAGAACTACCTAGTACAATGTATACAATAACAGCTAATATTGTCCATATTTAAACATAAGTGTATTGGTACAAAATAGAAACTAACATATACGCCGAAAAATACGTTTTCAAATTTGCCCTCAGAAACTTTCCTGCATTGACGTCGATTATGTTGAGTGCCGCATCCTATTGCCTTGTTCATTTCACAATTCAGTGTATGGTTTGCTAGAATAAATGTAACATTACATCTACACATAAGTTTCTTTTACATTCACGGTAACAGATGTACTTTTTCTCCATTCTGTAAATATGATATTTCTCCTACAGAGATAATATTAGATAGTTTTTCTTACTTTTTTTTATTGTTTTGTTACTAGTAAAACTAAAAAGCTGAAAAATAATATTTAAACTTGATGGAATTTTCTTAAAACTGTCATATTTTTTTAGGTTGATTTACTCACTAATTGTCTGATGATTTTGATTACTTTAAATGGTTTTTCTGCTCTTTCGGCGGGTTGTTGTCTCTTTGACACATTTCTCATTTCCATTCTCAATTGTATTTCCCAAATATTGCAGATTTATGAATAAGTAATTATATGAAACTTCACGAAAACGTTTGGAAGTGACTTTGTAGTTTCTGATTACTTTGGTTTTCTTGAATTTTTGTACTGGAATCCAACAATAAGCTGTAGTTACTTCGGCCAGACGGTCCTGTAGAAGCGTGCATATTTGACCCTTTTACAAGTTATATGCTGTTTTTATTTCCCTTTTCTAGTAGTTCCACGACTGTATTGTACAGGTTTTTGTCATAGGGGAGGTCTGTGATAAATTAAAACGGATTTGACCACACCACAGTATGCTAAATCAGAAGTATCTGGACCGTGTGATATTCGTTGCAGTTTGTCTTTGTATGTCTCGAAAGGCAAAAGTGAGCTTTTCTCATCACTTGGCGTCCGTCGTCGGTCGGTCGTCGTCGTCCGTTAATTTTTACAAAAATCTCCTCCTCTGAAACTACTGTGCCAACCAAACTTCGCCATAATAATTATTGAGGTAATTAGTTTAAAAACTGTGTCCGACTACCCTGTATGTTAACTTAGATGGCCGACATGTCTAAAAATAGAAATAGGGGTAAAACGATATCTTAAAAACCGCTATGAATAGAAAAAACCTTGACAGGGGCAGAAATGTTGATAGTGTTGAGATCTTCCTGTTGTTCATTTACATCAAAGCTGTAAGACGACTTCTTATAGGATTTATAGTTCTTTAATGTCAAATTCTAACATTTTTTTTCATTTTTGTCTTATTTTGAAACTATAAAAGATACAGAGAAATTTTAATTAGGAAAAGTAATTATCTAGACAAGAGCTACAAATAAGTCAACATGGCTTAAACAATTAGACGACTTCTCATTGGAGGTATTGCTCCGTAATGACGATATTTACCACTTTTTACGTTTATGCCTTAAATCTTAAAAACTACAATAAATAGAAAAAAACTTTAACAGCAAAAATTATCAACAGGTCAAAATCTACAAATAAGTCAGAACGAAAGTCATTGCCTTTTAAAGACGATTTTCCCCATTTTTTTCACTTTTGCCTATCATTTTGAAAACTATTATAGACAGATAAAAACTTTATATACGAAAAATAATCAGCAAGACAAGATCTACAAATAAGCCATCATAGCTGAAATCTTTAGTCGACTCGTTATTGGAGTTATTTCTTGTAAAGATGTTTTTTACCATTTTTTTAGTTGTTGCCTTTAATCTCTGAAAAGTGCAATAAATACAAAAGCAAAAATGATTTGATTTGATTTGATTTTTGGTGTTTTAACGCCACTTTCAAGCACCGCTTTTGGGCTATTTCGTGGCGGCCAGTTTTTATTGGTGGAGGAAGCCGGAGTGACCGGAGAAAACCACCGACCTTCGATAGGAAAACTGACAATCCTAGTCAATTAAGATTGGAGTCGAGAGCACCCGCACGAGCGGGGTTTCGAACTCACAACCTCAGTGTTGACTGGCTAGTGATGACAGTAGTAACTACTTAGACCACTCGACCACCGAGGCCCCTAAACAAAAATGATCAGCAGGACAAGATCTACAAAATTAGGTCAACATGACTGAAATTACCTGTTAATTCTTTATAGAGTTATTGCCCTTTCATGATTCCCCCCCCCCCCCCCCAAAAAAAAAATGGCTATTGTTGGAAGATGGAGGTGAGAGGCACAGCATCTTTAGAGGCTCTAGTTTTTTTGATGAGTCATTGTGGTTTGTTGTACTATGCGGCCGGTATAAGTTTTTGGCGATTCATGTAAAGTCCGTTTATGTATTATTACAATAAACTAACATTCGATTTGTTTTATCATTTCAAAATACAAAATGTATATACAATACGATATGTCACACCTTACACATGTTAAAATCAGTTTAAAGATGCGTTTGTTCTATTGTATAGTTCGCAAATAACACATACTGTATGGCGTGTATGTCGGAGACAACTATACAAAACAACACAAGAACATTTACAGGTCAACATGACCAAATGTCTTTCAATACTAAATGTTATGAGACGATCATTTGATATATAGAAAGGAGGAGGGGAAGGGTGTGGTAGGCAGGTTGACTTTTGCGGATTGAATGCATATTCACCTGTTGTTACGACTGCTTTTTTTCACGGCTTCAAAATTAATTTTCACCTTTCTCGCAATAATTTCCTGCATTTAGTGTTGCAGAATATTCACTTTCATCATGTTATAAGCAAAGTTGTTTAATTCCAGCTCTTTACCAGAACAGGATATTCATCCCCCCCCCAAAAAAAAAAAATGTTCCCTGTAGTCTCTTTATTTTTTATGCCGTACATATATTCACATAAAAAATGCATTATTTAAACATTAATCAATGAATATGAAGACAGGGAAATATTGAATGCTCCTAAAAAAGACACAGAGGCATCACTAAAACAAGATAAGTCTTCTAACAAATCTCTTTTACGATTAAGTACAATTCAATGATATAATATAATATGTTTAATAGAATTTACTATTAAGCAGAATGTTCCTTTTCTAAGTGGGTAAAAGGAATCCCAAATCACGATAATATCCAGATTGCTCCGATTTTTTTTTATTAACACAAAACATGACTAAATAGATCCTTCAATATTCAAAAAGATCCAATTCGTTTTGGGCAAAATCCCTTTAGAATAAAAACACTGTACTTTACTAAGAGGATTCCTCTCTAAGGAATAATTTTCATATAAATGTTTTCTCTAAGTGAAAAAGAAGAAGACAG